TTCAGTAAAAAAGAAAAAAAAGAAAGAATACAGAGATCCTTTATACAGTTTGTCCAATTTCCCAAAGTGGTAACATTTTGCAAAAATACAGTATAATTATCATAACCAAGATACTGGCATTCCACCAATCTTATTTAGATTTCCCCAGGTTACACTTGCACGTGTATATATTAAGTTCAATGTAATTTTATCACCTATGATGTACCCATACCACACTCAAGGTACCGAACAGGATCTCTCAAGTTTTACTTTAATAAACCGCAGCCATCTCTCCCTCATTTTCTCCTCTCTTACCCCTAATACCTGGAAACCACTAACCTCTCCTCTATTTCTAAAATTTTATCATTTCAAAAATGTTACATAAATGGAATCATTTATAGTAAGTGGTCTTTTGGGGGTAATAATTCCCTGAACATTCATCCAAGCTGTTGTATATATCAACAGTGTGTCAAAACCTACATGTTTTTTTTTAAATTAGAAAATGCATTACTGTCTGAGGAACCAATGTTGCAGAAGTTGCTATATAGCAACAGCTGTTTTTCCTTGCTTCCACTCCAATTCCACATGATGCTCCATTTATGGGTCACCATTACCCTTGTCACAACCTTTACAATCACAGTTACAGAAAAAAGCAGGTCAAAGGATAAATTTAAGCAATAGAAAAATTATACTTTGAGGAGAGAGTATCTATAATGCAAGCACATACTGTCTGTTACCCATTCATCTCATCCTCTCCTCCCAATAACTTGATAGGATACACAATGTAAAACTTCATTTTTAAGTTTGGAAACTGAAGCTTAGAAAAGTTAAACAATTTTCCCAAGATTACTCACCTAGTAAGTAATAAAGTGGGAGCTCTGGTAGCGTAGTGCCTAAGGCACTTGACTGCTAACCAGGAGGCTGGTGGTTCAAACCCACCAGCCACTCCACAGAAGGAAGGTTGGGCAATCTACTTCCATAGTGATACTGCCTCAGAAACCCAAGCAGGGGTCACTATGACTTGGGTCCGACTCCACGGCACATAACAACAACAACAACAAGTAATAAATACAGAATTAGAATCTGAGGATATCTGACTTCAAAGCTATGTTACTTTCCACAATACTTAGGTGTGAATTAGTGGATATATTTAAACTAATACACAAATCCAAGCCTTGGACATCATCTATAATTTTGATATGACAAATTAAAAATTAAAGTGCTACTGCATACAGAATGTTTCATTTTGAAATGCAATGTCATTTAAAACATGTACTTGAGTTTTTGGTCATCATCAAATGAAATACTTTTGTTATCAATGTTATAATCTTTTCTATAAAATTATACACAGTATACTGTTTAATTAAAATTATAAACAGTATACTGTTTAATTAAAAACAGTATCCCTTTTTTCTCACTGCCACTCTCCCTCTCCCCCACATTAATTTTTGGAAGAAATGAACCAAAGGCATTCCTAAATCAGAAAGTGAATCAAATTACCCTTACTTCCACATTCCTCTTTTTTTATAACAGATTTGATCAAATAGGAAAAATCTAAGTTCAAAAAGGAAGAGGAAGAATATGTTGTACTTCAAAGGGGACAATAATTGGGCAGGACAGGAGAGGCCATTTATTAAACAAACATGTACTGAATAATGTATGTGTGGAGTACCTTTAGCAACTGGAAAGCTAAAATGAATAATCTAGCTCTTTTGCCACCAACAAGGAGCCCTGGTGGCATAGTTGTATTGTCAGTGACTGCAACACCCCAAAAAATGGTCTCAGACCCCATCTCACTTAGTTATGCTTTTAAGCTATTCCCCTTTTCCCTCCCTGTCACACAGCAATCACCTCTCCGCTGTATAAGGAAGAGTATAAACTCTTCCTTAGACTGTGTTGTTGTTGTTATGTGCCATCGTCAGACCCGACTCATAGCGACCCCTCCTTCGGTTTCCGAGGTGTTATCACTACAGAAGTAGATTGCCCAACCTTCCTTCCGCTGCCTTAGACTAGGCCCGGGCAAATAAGTGCCCTAACTGTCAGCGTTTTTATCAGAGCAAACACAAACCTTAGAAAAGCATTGCCAGGGATCCCCTCCTGAGTGGCCAGGTACCACAGAGCCTTCCAGTCCCAGTCATGCAGACCCCATCCCCAATTCCCCAGGCTCAGGTATAAATTTCCCCTGCAAAATGGATGAATTTAGCAGACACTTTGGATCCATCCCAGCCCAGTAACCCCCTGGATCGAACTGCTAACAACATTTTGTAAAGCTGTGCCCATTTTCCTTCCATCTATTGTCTTATAAATCCTCTCTGTCTCTGTCTCTCTCTCTCCCCTCCTATTCTAAATAAAGCTCATGCTGGTAATGACACCCCCAGGCAGATTTTTTGGTTTCTCCTATCTACCCCCAAAAAATTCCAAATTCCCTGGGAAATTCCTAACAGCAGTGCCTAAGGCATGTGACTGCTAACCAGAAGGTTGGCCACTCAAACTCACCAGCCACTACGCAAAAGGAAGACTGTTGTTGTTATGTGCCATTGAGTCGACCTGACCCACAGTGACCCCTCCTTGGGTTGCCGAGGCAGTATCACTACAGTAGACTGCTCCCATCTTCCTTCCAAGGAGTGGCTGGTGGGTTTGAACCGCCAGCCTTCTGGTTAGCAGTCAAGTACCTTAGGCACTATGCTACCACAGCTCCCAAAAGGAAGACTGTGTTGTTGTTGTTGTTATCTGCCGTCGAGTCGGCCCCGACCCCTTCTTGGTTTTCCGAGGCAGTATCACTACGGAAGTAGGATTGCCCAACATTCCTTCCGAGGAGTGGTTGGTGGGTTTGAACCGCCAGCCTTCTGGTTAGCAGTCAAGTGCCTTAGGCACTATGCTACCAGAGCTCCTAAAAGGAAGACTAGGCAATCTATTTCTGTAAAGATTTACTGCCTCGGAAGCCCAAAGGGGGACCCTGTAGTCAGAATTGACTTGATGGCAGTGAGTTTGGTTTTGGTTTGCTTTCTGCCATCAACAGCTCACAGTTTTGTACAGAAAAAAAAAAAAAAATTATTAAATAATTATAAAGAATGTGACAAGTACTATAATAGGGGTATGCAGTATACTCCAGTAAAACAAACAGGTATTAAATGAATAAATAAACGAGCAGTTTCTTTGATTATTAAGAACCCTCAGCAACCTGAGAAGTCATCTCCCAAAATTCCATCTGAAAGTAACTTCAGTATTTTAGATGCTGATGTAATTGTTTTCTTTGTGGTGAACATTTGTTAAATACTTAGTTAAATCATCTAAGATTTAGACTTAAAAAAGTACTTAAGAGACTCAAAACCATTACATTAGTATTTTTGTGTTAAAGAACCTATGCTATTTCAGCTGTTTGTAATGCTTAAGGCAATTTGCACATTATTAGAGTAACAAACAGGTCAGCCTCATGATTCTCTTTTAAAGTGCTTAATTGATTTAGACTTGCAATTTTTAAGTTAAAGTGTAGTAAGTCTAACATGTGCAGAGATGCCTTTTTTATTTTTTAATTGTGATTTGGGTGAAAATTTACAGAGCAAATACACTTTCCATATAGCAGTTCACATACACTTTGTCTCATGACATTGACCACAATTTAGCACAATGCAACATCTCCTCTCCCACTTCCTCCCAACAGTTACCTCTTCCCTGTGTCCACCCCTCCATGCATTCCTGCCCCCTGAGCTATTTCCCTGTGCATAAGCAGCCCTTCTTTCTCCCATGATTGTTCTCTCCAAGAAGCGTACCTACCTCAGGAGAATGTTCAACTTATATGCCTGTCCATTGTTTGGCTGGAAGCCACAGACATGCGTTCAGTTCCAAACCTGAAAGGCAGCTAGGGGCCATAATCTCAGTGGTTCCACCAGGCTCCATCAGGCCAGCAAACCTGGTCCCGCCCCCCTTTGTTTTTTTTCCAAATGATTTTGAGTTTTGTTCCACATTGTTCTCCCTGCCTATCCAGGATCTCCTACATAGATCCTCTTCCAAGTGGATGACAGTAGTAGCCAAGCACCATCGATTTCTTCTGGTCTCATAGTCGTATAGGCTGCAGATCGGATGATGTACCAGTTGCTAGGACTAATTATTTCCATAAATTTTTGGTTTTCTTCATTCTTCTTGGCTCTGGATGAGGAGAGACCCATCACTGCATCTAGATGGCAGCTTGCAAGCTTTTAAGATCTCAGTCGCTACTCACCACAGTAGAAGGTGGAACAATGTTTTGTGTAGTATGTTATGCCAATTGAACTTGATATCCTCTGCAACCATGGTCCCGAGCCCCCAGGTTCAACTACTCAGTCCCTCTGGATAGCTGGCTGTGACCAAGCAGTGACTACAACCTTGACCCTTGTCAGCCCCATTATACACCTGGGAATTCAGATCATACACATAAAGTTATTGGACCACTGTCTGCCAACACTATACATGTTCTTGGGTGCACTCTCCACTTCATATACATACGTAATATTTCAGCCTGTCCACCCATCTATCCACCCATATACCCGTGTTTGCCTTCACTGACCACGCTGTAGTATATGCGCAAAACGGTTCATCTTTGTTGTCTGTACTTCTCATGTACCTCTCTATGTCTTTCTCTTCCTCAATGACACTATATTCATCACTCACATTTGGTACATTGCCCTTTTCTTCTCCCAAATCAAATCTTATCTCTATCTATCTAACCAGAGATGTCTTTTTTATTCAAACATTTATCTAGTATTTCTTATGTGCCAGGCACACTGCTAGCAACCAGACTACTGGGACAAATAAAGTACAGTTCCAAACAAACTCACATTGTTGAGCAGGAAACAGACAGTTATGTAAATCATTACAATGTCTGTGACAAGTGCTACAACAATATAAGGCATAGCAGTGGCACAAAGGAAACAGGAATTAAATGAAGAGAATAAAAACAAAGACTTTAACAAAGCAACAGTAAGAAATAATATCCAAAGTAACTGACATTTAAAAACCCAAGATTCCCTTCTGTGAATTCTTACCTGGGTACTGCCACGGAATCCTCAGTAGTCATGAGTCCTAGTTGTCCATCACTCCCTGCACCCCAAGAAAAAAGCTGGCCCCGGTCACTAAGAGCCAGATTGTGGGACTCGCCACATGCCACATGGACAATGTGCTGATCTGCCAAAGCTCCAATTTGCTCTGAAAGAGACCACATCAAAGGAGGAAAATGCACAGCCCCAAAAACAGGCATATTGACACCCTTACACAAATTGTCTTCCAAGGCAGTTTTGTTTTTTATAGAGAATCACTAAATGTGTAGTTATAGAGATTATACGTTTTATATATTTCTAAAAGCTATCACTTTAGATCCAAGCTATACTGGGTAGCATACATATTGACAGCGCACACATCATAGATGTTCCCTCAACCAAAACAGCATGCGCATGGCCCTTTTCTATCCAGGGAGAAGTCTAAAGGTTTATTAGTTAGAGATGTCCAGAAAGGTCCAAGTGAGAATACAGTGAACAAATTACTGAAAGTATTCAGTCTGAAGGAAATTTTGCAATTTTCCCTAGGAAATGAGAAACAGAGAGAGAGAGAGAGAGAGAGAGAGACCTTCCAGAAAACAGTGTTTGTCTTCTACGTATCCAACATTAAGACAGAAGATTTTTCTCTGGGAAAAGATCCAAAGACCAAGAGAAAACATTCACAGATATTGACATTTGTCAGTCCCCCAGTGAAAAGCCCGTTTCCCACCAGTTGACAAGTCTTTGTCACAAACAGCTCCATTCAAGTTTTAGTGCCTCATTCTTTAAATACAAAAAGCTGCCAAGGATCATTATCACTATATATGTAAATGTGATAGTTGGAGCTGTATGTCAACTTGTCTGGATCACAATTCTGTGTGGTTTGAGCTGTTGTGGTGTGGTTGTTCCCATGATGGGATCAGATGACTATGTTTTGAGCACCTAATCTGTCAAAAAGGGAGTTTCCCTAGGGGTGTGGCCTGCTTCCAGTATATCTGTGAACATCCTGGGAGAGGAGACATTCTTCTGTGGATCAGGATTCTGTTGTGCTGCCTACAACTGTCCAAGAGTGACAATCCACCATTTGGCCTGGAGATCTTGGATTTGTCATTCATTGGAATCAACAGCCCGTGTACTGGCTGCCAGCTCTGAGCTCCTAAGCTCCTGCAGCTGCAAGAGTCAGGAAAAGCCTCCACCTTGACATGGAAAAGCTTCCAGCTTGACGTTTGATCCAGGAACTTTGGACTTGCCAACTTCTATAAGTGTGTGAGCCATTTTCCTAAGATAAATCTCTCTCACTCTCTATATATAAGCTTTACTGGTTTTGTTTCTCTAGAGAACCCAGTCTAACACATGTGGTACCAAAAGTGGTTCTAGAGAGCCAAAATCATAAGGATGGGCTTCCTAAATTGGTTCTTCAGTTTGATTAATCTTAAAGACACTAGTAACCTTGCATCTGTTAGTAAAGAGGGCCCTGCTAATCCGTGGCATGAGGTGGCAGCATTAATACGCAAAATAGCACCACCAACAGATCAAATACTTGTGAGAAGTGATGCCCTGGGTGATCAGATATTTGATAATTTTCTGCAATTTTGTCAGCATGAGGAATAAGGAAGCTGGTTGGTTGGTCCTACTTACACTAGACAAAGTGGTGAAAGAGCGAGATGAGCTCAGAGCTGCTGAGTCTCGGCTTAAGCGCCGCATAAAAGAACTCAGTGCTTCCAGTTTTGCTCTGAAAGAATGTCTTATACCTTCTAGTAACAGAGCAGATATTGCTGAAAACCAAACCCAGAGTCTTATTGTAAGGGTGGCTGAATTACAATGCCAATTAAATTGCTAACCCAGAATGGTGTCTGAAGTTAACGTGAGGGCATTGATTGGGAAAAAATGGGATCCTGAAACCTGGAATGGTGACATATGGGCAGAAGATAGTCAGGAGGATCAGGATATGGAGCTGGTAAATTCTGTTGAATCCCTCCCATCTGAAGGGATTACTGTAAAGCCATTATACCCCCCACCTCAGTTTGATTGGATTAGCCCAACTGTTCCTGCTGAGTCATTGCCTGAGGCAGAGGCCATGGAAGACTGCTGAATGTTCTCAGGAACTGCCCCAACCACCCATTGTTGCTGCTAGACCTATAACTAAAGTTAAGTCCAAGCGAGCCCCAAAAGGTGAAATAGAAAGTGTGACTGAGGAGGTGGTACGCTACACCCGAAAAGACCTACTTGATTTGGCTGACATGTACAGACAGAAACCTGGAGAATATGTATGGGAATGGCTACTGAGGGTGTGGGATAATGGTTCAAGGAATGTAAGATTGGATCAGTCTGAGTTTACTGATTTAGGCCCACTAAGTATGGATTCTTCATTCAATGTTTCAGCTCGAGAGGTTAAGAAAGGATCTAATAGTTTGTTTGTTTAGCTTACTGAAGCATAAATTATGCGCTAGCCTACCTTAAGTCAAGTTGAAATACCAGACCTGCCTTGGTATAATGTAGAAGAAGGTATCCAGAGGCTGAGGGAAACTGGCTTGTTAGAATGGATTTATCAGATTAGACCCCTAGAGCCAGGAATGGAGAGTCCAGAAGACACAACTTTCACCAGTATGGTGAGAAATAAATTTGTGAAGGAAGCTCCAGCATCTTTGAAGACTGCTCTGATTGCTATTTTATGTAAACCTGATTTGACAGTGGGAACTGCCCTAATTGAACTAAGACACTTAACTACGATGGGGCTGACTGGACCCCGTGGTAGTAGGGGTCAAGTGGCAGCAGTTAATCGACAAAGGCAAGGTGGGCGTGGTTACCATAATGGACAGCAGAGTCAGAACAGTAATCAGAATAGTCTGACTCGTGTGGAATTATGGCATTGGCTACTTGCTTATGGTGCTCCTAGGAGTGAAATACATGGCAAGCCTACTAAATATTTACTTGATCTGTATAGACAGAAGAATTCTAGGTCACGTGAACAGCAATTTAGATTGAATCGCCAGAATACAGAGTCACGACTTCTCAATCAATTCCCAGACTTGAGTCAGTTTACAGACCCACGACCCCTTGAATGAAGGGGAGGCCAGGTCCCTTTGAACAAGGTCCCCACTACATTGCTAAAAATCTATAATGTCCCAGCCTTCCCCAAAGGGATCTGAGGCCTTTTACAAGAGTGACTGTTCATTGGGGAAAAGGAAATAATCAGATTTTTCAGGGATTACTGGACACTGGCTATGAATTGACACTAATTCCAAGAGATCCAAAGCGTCACTGTGGCCCATCAGTCAGAATGGGGGCATATGGAGGTCAAGTTATTGATGGAGTGTTAGCTAAGGTGCATCTCACAGTGGGTCCAGTGGGTCACAGAACCCATCCTGTAGTGATTTCCCCAGTGCCCGAGTGCATAATTAGAATAGATATACTGTGCAATTGGCAGAATTCCCACATTGGGTCCCTGACATGTGGAGTAAGGGCTATTATGATAGGAAAAGCCAAGTGGAAGCCATTAGAACTGCCTCTACCTACAAAAATAGTAAACCAAAAGCAATACCACATCCCTGGAGGGGTTGCAGAGATTACTGCCACCATTAAGGACTTGAAGGATGCAAGGGTGGTGATTCCCACCACATCCCCATTTAATTCGCCTATTTGGCCTGTGCAAAAAGCAGATGGATCTTGGAGAATGACAGTAGATAATCGTAAACTTAATCAGGTGGTGACTCCAATTGCAGCTGCTGTTCCTGATGTGGTCTCATTGCTTGAGCAAATTAGTACATCTCCTGGTACTTGGTAAGCAGCTACGGATCTGGCCAATGCGTTTTTCTCTATACCAATTTCAAAGGACCTTCAGAAGCAGTTTGCCTTCATCTGGCAAGGCCAACAGTATACTTTCACAGTCCTTCCTCATAGGTATATCAACTCCCCAGCACTATGTCATAATTTAGTCTATAGGGATCTTGATCGCCTTTCCCTTCCACAAGACTTCACACTAGTCCATTATATTGATGACATTATGCTGATTGAACCTATTAAAGAAGAAGTATCGATGACTCTAGACTTATTGGTGAGACATATGTGTGCTACAGGTTGGGAAATTAACCCAACGAAAATTCAGGCACCTTCCACCTCAGTAATATTTCTAGGGGTCCAATGGTCTGGGGCATGTTGAGATATTCCTACTAAAGTGAAGGAGAAGTTATTGTATCTGGCTTCCCCTACAACTAAACAGGAGGCACAACGTTTGGTGGGCAGCTTTGGATTTTGGAGGCAACATATCCCTCATTTGGGTGTGTTGCTGTGGCCTATTTATCAAGTGACTCGGAAAGCTGCTAGTTTTGAATGGGGCCCAGAGCAACAGAAGGCTCTGCAACAGGTTCAGGCTGCCGTGCAGGCTGCTCTGCCACTTGGGCCATATGATCCCGCTGATCCAATGGTGCTTGAATTGTCTGTAGTAGATAGAGATGCTGTTTGGAGTCTTTGGCAGGTCCCTATTGGTGAATCGCAAGGCAGACCCTCGGGATTGTGAAGCAAAGCCCTGCCATCCTCTGCAGATAACTACTCTCCTTTTGAGAAACAGCTTTTGGCTTGTTATTGGGCTTTAGTAGAGACTGAACGCCTAACCATGGGCCACCAAGTGACCATGAGGCCTGAGCTGCCATCATGAACTGGGTGTTGTCTGACCCACAGAGTCATACAGTTGGACGTGCACAACAGCACTCCATCATTAAATGGAAGTGGTATATCAGAGGTCAGGCTAGAGCAGTGCCTGAAGGCACAAGTAAGTTGCATGAGGAAGTGGCCCAAATGCCTATGGTCTCCACTCCAGTCACATTACCTTCTCTCTCCCAGTCTGCACTTATGGCCTCATTGGGGAGTTCCTTATGATCAGTTGACTGAGGAAGAGAAAACTTGTGCCTGGTTTACAGATGGTTTGGCACAATATGCAGGTACCACTAGAAAGTGGACAGCAGCGGCACTGCAGTCCCTTTCTGTGACTTCCTTAAAGGACAGTGGTGAAGGGAAATCCTCCCAATGGGCAGAACTTCGAGCCATGCATATGGCTGTTCACTTTGCATGGAATAAGAAATGGCCAGATGTGCGATTATATACGGATTCATGGGCTGTGGCTAATGGCTTAGCTGGATGGTCTGGGACTTGGAAGGAGCATGATTGGAAGATTGG